AAGTTCCACATAATCAACAAGTGCAAATATCAGTATGACATGGATAACATATTAGGGAACTACTTAGTTGGCTCGGCTGATCACACGCATTGCACTATCATCTTTTCATTTCCTTTTGAAAACCTCTTTTAAGTTACTTTTTGGAAAATATTTTTTTTTACCATTTCCTTAGTTTGAGTCCTAACACACTCGAGAGTGTGCCCGAATCCCTCAAACCAAGACTCTGCAACCAACTTTTAACGACCCAAATTTTACAAAGAAATTTTTCATTTTTAATTAGTAAACACGCTTGCATAAGCCATGAAATTCCAACATAATTGTTTTCAAATCCACATTCATTACAGCTTTGTTTAAATCATCAAAGCGTCCCAAAACATGTTAGTGAAAAAGGGAGACAGAGTGCACGTCGCACCATCACGCCTTGCCTTTTCCCTTAGGCTCAGATGTACCTGAAACAAATACACAAACAGTAAGCTTGAAAGCTTAGTGAGTTCACCAGAGCACACCCACACACAAACACGTACAACATATCATGCTAGCTAACAGCTATACGAAACACATAAGTCATGCAAACAGCACACAAAGAAGCCCTGGAAACCCTATAGTGTCTTACTCTAGGTGCCATAGGAACCCCCACATGGTCTTAGCCCAACGCCTCGGGAAACCCCTGAGGTCTTTGACTTAGGATGCCAAGGAAATCCTACAAGGTATTACACCTAAGTGCCTCGGGAACCCCCAAGGTCTTTGACCTAGGATGCTAAGGAAACCCTCCAAGGTTTTACACCTAAGTGCCTCAGGAACCACCCGAGGTCTTCCATACACAATAAACAGAACAACTAGCACATTACATATCAAATAGTCCAAGTAGCATATACATAATAATTAATGGGCCGGCCTTGGTGCCTTCGACCCATTGGTATGTTGAGGATACTCACCTCTGTCTGTTGAATACCAAAGCTGCTCTCCTAACAATCCGAATCTCTCATGTTGAATAATAATATTCATCAATGTTAGGACCTTATATTAGTCAAAGGAAAAACCCAAACTCCAAACCATCCATGAGGCCCAATTATCCATCCCTTGTTAATGGGCCCAAAATCCAAGTCCATGAATTATTAATGGGCCTCTTGGCCTAATAAGGCCCAATAAGGCCTAACCAAAGTATCCATGGCCCATAAAAGATGAAATAGCCCATAATTCATAGAATGCAACCAATCTGATAACCAAAATAAAGCCCAAGAGATCAAAGGCCCAAAACAAATCCGGCCCAATCTGTCGCGCGTACGCTCAGCGTACCATTCTGGTATGCGCAACATACTGGGGTCTTAAGGACTATGCGCAGTGTACATTGAGTATGCCCAACGTTATTCTAGATCAATCACTTTCTCCATTAAGTGCTTAATACCCGATTCCTTTACGTCCAAAAGCCAGATCTGAGTTCTTTAATACGTCCTAACACATAAAGTTGCTAACTTTATGCCTTTGAATGCCTCACATACACCCACAACCTTCATTATGACCTTTCCAAGGTCTTTAACCCATGCATGAGACCAATACTTCCCCAAAGACTCCATTTTTATGCTTCAAAATGACCAAGGGACCTCAGATCGGCCATTCTCCTCTCATGGAGTTGCTTAACTCGCCAAAAAGAGGTCCAAAATCCAACAAAGGGACAAAATTAGAAAACCCTAGCTAAATCTAAAGATTTAAATGGAAAGGTGCAAGCTTTTTACCACCAGAAGCCTTGCAAGATGACCCCAATGCAGATTCTTAAAGCACCAAACTGATCCAAAATTGCTTAACAACTCTCCTTCTTGAAATAAAATGGCCACCAAAACCCTCTTATTAGGCTCCAACTCTCACTGAAACACTAGCTCAGCTGTAGGAAGACGAAAAGAGGCTCAAGAGGCTGATAGGGTTTCGTCCAAGAGGCTAAAGGATGATTAAATAGGGGATAAGTCTAGGATTTAGGGTTTTGACCCTCTGATGCATACACCCGACGTACCCTCACGTACACCCAGCCTGCGTGAGGATCCTCCGCGATCATTCATGCAGATTACGCTAAGCGTACTCATAGGTAGGCCTAGCGTACTCAAGGGACCAATTATTGTAAAACGTAAATTCTCGAGGGTTTCAAGACGTACCATGTTTAGGGTTTTACAAGTAGCTTAACAGAGGAGTATGTTGGGTGTACATTCAAGTACGCGCCGCATACACCAGTTCTAGTCAATAAGCTTAGCATACATAAGAGTACGCCCCACGTACTCATCCGTTTTGGTCCTGTAGTGTTTTGGGCCTCGGGTTGGGCCAATCAATGGACTTTGGGTCTTTGGGCTTCAGTGGGCCATCAGGAGTCAGTTGTTTTGGGCTAGGAATATGTTTGGGCTTAGGGTAAGGCCCATTAAATGAATTGGACCCAATTGAGCAAGTTGGGTCATTGGTGGACCACTGGTGGGCTTGGAAATCCTACGTAGTGTTGGGTTTTTATTTGAGAATTGGGCCTTAGTTTCGGATCATAGTAGGACAGGGGTAAAATGGTCATTTTACCCGATGCATGGACTAAGGATTTTAGTATGGGCCCTAGTTGCTAATTGAGTATATTGTTTCGATATTGGTGGTCATGAAGTGGTCAGGACAACAGCTAAGGATTTCTTTAGGAAGCTTCTGCATTTTAGGTGAGTCTTCTCACCATACCAATGGGTATAAGGCACCAAGGCTGGCCCATTTTATGATAGTTGGTATACTTTTTGTGTAGAGGTGTGTGGCATTGTTATGCATTGATATGTGGTAGAGATAGCTTTTATAGCTAATGGTAGAGATAGCTTGTACGGCTAATGGTAGAGATAGCCTGTAAGGCTAATGGTAGAGATAGCTTGTATGGATAATGGTAGAGATAGCCTGCATGGCTAAGGGTAAAGATAGCCTTGTGACTAATGGTAAAGATTTTATAGCTAATTGATGTGTTATGTGGTAGAGGTAGCTTTATAGCTAATTGATATGTAATATGTGGTAGAGGTAGCTTTATAGTTGATGGAAATGTATATGTGGTAGAGGTAGATTTTATAGCTAGCATGTTATGTGGTTTTTGTGTGGGGTATACTCTGGGGAACTCATTAAGCTTCATGCTTACAGGTTTGTTTATGGTTTCAGGTACTTCAGATTCCAAGGGCAAGGCGTGATGGCGCGGCGTGCACTCTCTCACAGACTTTTCGGGACACTCTGATGTTTGGAATAAAAGTTGTATTTGACTTATGTTTTGAAAACAATTATAACTGGATATCTTAATGTATGACATCATGTTTGCTTATTCTAAAATGAAAATTTTTACTTTGAAAATTGGGTCGTTACAGAAAGTGGAGAACTGTTACGAAAGCAAGAGCTGAGCTCAAACTAACCAATGAAGAAAAAGGGAAAATCAGTGTTGATTCTAAACATATAGATGATTTCATTTTGATACCAAAGTCCATTGAAGTTGACTTGATCGATAGTTTGAAATCCAAAGTTCATAATTGGGTTATAGGTTCTTCTTTTCATCATGCCTTTTGTTCTAATAAACAATGATCCAAACAGCATTGAGGACCTAAATTCTTTCACTAGTTGCATGGTTTGTGTGATGAGCAATACGAAGAAAATTGGTACATCGATAGTAGTTGCTCTCATCACATGACAGATCAAAAGGAAAATTTACGAGATTATCGAAGCCTAGAAAATGTTAGAGTAGTGAAGTTTGGGAATAACAATAAATTCAAAGTCAAGCGATATGTCAAAGTTACGAATGGCAAGTTCACTGTGAATCGAGTGACATATGTTGAAGGTCTTCAACATAACTTGGTAAGTGTCTCGCAACTTGTTGTGGGCACTGGTAATCAAGTCGTCTTTGATGAAGAAGGAAGTGTAATTTCGAACAAAGAAGCTAAAGAAGTTTTACTCAAGTTGAAAAGAAAAGGAGATATGTTCACTCTTGATATCAAACCAATTATTGGTGTTCCCTCAGTATGCTTACTCTTGAAGCCATCATCTGATATAAGCTGGCTATGACATCACATACTTTCTCACTTAAATTTCAAAAAATTGAACAAATTGGTGGTCAATGATCTTGTACATGGCTTACCAATTTTAAAGTTTGATAATGATTATTTATGTTCAGCTTGCAAACATCGTCAAGGTAATCCCATAATCATCAATTTGAAGATCATTGAACCTCTTGAAGTACTTCATCTTGACCTTTGTAGCCCTTCGACTATTGAGACTCTAAAAAAGAAAAGGTACATATTAGTCATTGTTGAGGATTTTTCAAGGTTCACTTGGGTATACTTCCTTCGATAGAAGTCTGAGACTTCTCAAATAATGATCGATTTCATCAATAACATCGAACTAAGTTTGCTCAAGAAAGTCAGGAAGATCAAAAGTCACAATGGAACAGAATTCAAGAATCAGACTCTTGATAAATTTCTGACTGAACTTGGCATAACTCATAATTATTCAGCTCCTTATACACCTCAACAAAATGATGTTTTCAAAAGAAGGAGTAGATCTTTTTGCGAAGCAACAAGAATAATGCTCACATATGTGAATCTACCCCAATATATCTAGGTAAAGGCGGTTTTGACAACATGTTTTACACAAACAGATCTTTCATTCATCGTCATTTTAACATCTCCCCTTATGAAATCATTAAAAATCAAAAACCAAATGTGAAATTCTTCCATGTTTTTGGTTGCAAGTGCTTGATTTTGAATCTTAAGGATAACCTTACGAAATTTCAATCAAAAGGTGGAGAGGGGATATTCTTGGGATATTCACATAATTTAGTTGCATATAGGGTGTTGAACAAGTGAACAAGGAAGATTGGAGAAACATTCAATCTAACTTGTGATGATTATTTTGTAAAATGTGTTGAAAAGAATTTCGAATAGAAGCCCATTATTATAATTGTCTGATGAGTCATCTATTTCAAATTCTTTCGTTTTGATTATGATTTAATCGTTGGTGTTCTTGACATGGCAATTGATGCTGAAGTAAATGCAATGGATAATCAGATTCCTAAAGCTTCGAAGCATTCTGATGATTCGACTATGACTCAGGAAAATGATGATTTATATTCAACATCGAATACTCCATGTCATGTCGATAGTAATGCTTTGATACAAGGTGATCACGTGGAGGGGGAGCACTTGGATTCGACTAGTACTATTGAGGGGGAGCATGGACAAACAAGTACTGGTGTAAATGGGGAGCATCATACTTCGAATACAACTATCGAGGGGGAGCATCATCACACTTATCCTATTATCAAGGGGGAGAAAAGTAGAATTATGACACATGATTCGAAATACAAAATGAAGTTTTTCATGATATGACTGATAATTTGACTAATATAGGTGAAGGTTCAGAACCGGATGATATGTTTGAAGAAGCACCTTTAGATTTTGATCCACCCTATCCACCAGGGGACAAATGGGCAGGAGATCATCTGAAAGAACAAGTTCTTGGTGATCTTCATGCTGGTGTTCTAACGAGCGCTCAACTTTGTGCTAAAAATGAGGTACTTAAAGTTCATTAAGAATTTTGTATGTTCAATGTTTTCATTTCCAAAATAGAACCGAAAAGAATTAAGGTTGCATTAGATGATCCTGATTGGATTGTTGCAATGCAATCTGAATTAGTTGAATTCGAATGAAACAAAGTTTGGTGTCTTGTCCCAAAACCAAATGATGTGCCAGTAATTGGTTCAAAATGGATCTTTAAAAATAAAATGGATAAAGAAGGAAACATAGTTAGAAACAAAGCTAGGCTCGTTGTTAAAGGGTATTCGCAACATAAAGGTATAGATTATGAAGAAATCTTCGCCCCTGTCGCAATTCTCGAGGCTATTCGAATCTTTTTGGCCTATGCAGCACACAAGGACTTCCTTGTTTATCAAATGGATGTCAAGTGTGCATTTCTGAATGGAGTACTGGAAGAGACAATATATGATGAGAAACCACCAGGTTTTGTTAATGACAAATTTCCTGATTATTATTACATTATTGATAAGGCAGTTTATGGGTTAAAACAAGCACCACGAGTTTGGTATGCAACTCTTACCAATTTTTTAAAGCAATAGAAATTCAAACAAGGACAGTTGACCCACTCTCTTTCAAAAGAAAGTTTGGAATCATCTCATACTTGTTCAAATTTATGCTGATGATATTATTTTTCGCTCTACTAATACTGCATTGTTAAGTGAGTTTTGAAAATATGATGAATAGTCAATTCGAAATGAGCATCGTGGGGAAAATCAACAATTTTCTGGGATTAAACATTTGTCAAAGCAAAGAAGGAATCTTTATCAATCAAGAGAAGTATTTTCATAATCTGTTCGAAACGTTTGGAATGAAGAATAGTTTAAAATTATAAATAGTTTGTATTAGTTGATCCAATTAATCTAGTTCTAGTAGTCTATCTTTAATACATCAATCCTTCGATCGAAACAGGCATTCTATTGGCAATGGGAATTGCAGGAAATTCAAAAAAGGGAAAAAGTTTGAAGAAGGTTACAAAAGGCTAGTCCATCGAAGCCTAATCCTGTTCCTACTCCAAAGAAGGTTATTAAGCATATTCATGAAGAACCTTCTAAACCAGCAAAGGAGGTAATGCCTTATAAATATGGTGTTCTCAAGCGGTTAAAGAAAATGGCTCATAGGCCTCATCATTCTTCTGAAAGGAATATTGTTGAAAAGGTTCCTGAGAAGTCTATTTCTTCACCCAATAGTGTTTCTATAACAAAGAGGATTTGTAAGCCTCAAATCAGTTGAAAGGGTGTTAAGATTCGTTAGATTCCAGCTCCGGTTTCTCTAGCTTCAAAGAAATATTAAGCTCATGAGATGGTAAAGAAGATTACAAAACAAGAAAAGAAGGTTCAAGATCCAATGGATGAGGTAGTTCCAGAAACAGATTTCAAAGATAGTGGCAGGTCTCAATCTCCACTTCGTCATGAAGATATGGGCTTTCCATAACCTCAGAGGGACTCTCCAGTCAAATCGATGTTCGAGGCAACTGGAAGTCTTGGTGGCAATATGGAAAAATCTTATATGGAGATAACCACTAATCTGGATGATCATTCGAACCAATCCATCCCTAAGAAGACTTCGGTCATACAACCCGAAGTTTTGCTTGCCAAGTCCAATATGGAGGAGGTGTGAACTTCAGGTATCACTGCAAACATATCTAATATGCATGCAAATGTCAATATGGGTGATTGGTGTCAACATCTCACGCCTAAGGTAATTCAGATTCTATAATTGTTTCATCTACATCCGAAGCATCTAGTATTGATACAACCAGTTCGGTACAACCATTTCATTCAACTATTTCTACATAATTACCTCAACCACAACTTCACCCACATATCAACACATTCTGAATCAACCAACCACCTCTTTATTTCATTCTCAATCCACTAAAATACCTAAATCCATTTTAGATGATACCGCAGGGGAAGATGATTATATGGTTTCTTTCGTCGATATCAAATTTGATCTTGAGGAGGAGAACATACCAGATCATATGATTATGTCTAGTAAGTCGTTCAAGATTCTTAACTACAAACTCAGTTCGTTACTACAACTTCGCGCTGATGTTGAAAGCCAACATAATGTATTCGAAATTGAAATTGATGTTATGCTCAAGGCTCAGGAACTTCGGTTGAAAGACATGATGCATCGAATTGATAAAAGCAATGAAATGCGTGTGAAACATTAGTCTGAGTCGTTTAATCATGAAGTAAAGTATTTATGGGTAGTTGCCAAAAAATGACACATTCTTTTTGTTGAAATAGTAAAGAAAGAAAGAGAGAATGTTAATTTCAAGCTTAAAGAGATTTGTTCTGATATGGGAAAGGAGGTTTCAAAGCTTGATCACAATTATTCATCTCTTAACACTAAGGTAGATATTATTGTTGCTGTTGTGACTAAGGTTGTTGAATCTTACACTTCTTTACTTCCCAAAGTTGATAAAAAGTCTGAGTCTGATACACAAAGTTTTGCAAAATTGGAAGAACTCTTGGGCAATTTGACAGAGTTAGTTTCGAAACTTGGGTGTTTTTCAAGGTCTTTGATTACTCTAGAATCCTTATCTCAAAATATTTTGTCGTTGGAGTCCACACTCACGACTGAATTGGCCCTACTTATGAAACTTGTTCATCTAATGCCAACTGATGCCCCGCCTGATCACACATGAGTGCAAGGGGGATAAAAGAGTGTTGGCCTGAGATCGAGTGTTGGTATGCATTCATCAAAATTTGATGGTAGTGGTTCATCTAAAGATGAAGATGATGGAAAAGTTGTTGGGAAGGTTATGTCAACATATATTCCTACTTTATTGCCCAAATCCATGGTTTCAATAACTTCTACTTCTATCACAACAAGGCTATTGACAAAAGGGGTTGTTATTGGTTCATCTACTGGTGGATCAAGTTCGAAGCCACCTCCGACAACAAAAGAAATTAAGGGGAAAGGAAAACGAGTTCATACTGAACCAACTGTAGAATAAAAGAAGTTGGCTTTAGAAAAGGAAATGAAGAAGCAAAGACAAATTTAAAGTATTCTTCGAAAAATACAGGGTGATCCTACAAAGCCTTATTGTTAGGAGTCAGTTGAAGCTTCACTTTGTAGTGGTGTTATGCATGAGTTTGATAAAGTTCCCAAAAAGTGATTCGATACTGAAAACATTGAATTTAATAAGTTGGACTTCCCTATCAATGAGATGATGTTCATGTCATCTCAGTATCAGATTGTCAATAAATTTGAAGATATAGAAAAGGTTGAAGCTCAGATTTCATGATGTTCTGGGAAAAAGCGAAGGGGAGATTTGGTCATTAGTAAAGATTGTGAAATTTCTTAACATCTCAAAGGATGTTTTATTTGAAGGGATGTTGCAGAATTATAGATTTTATGTTGTTCATGCCAAAAATGTTGCTTTCGACTTCTCTGTAGTAGATTTTCCCTTCATGTCTTGATGATCTCATTAGTGTGGCAAGGATATTGAAAGGGTTGGATGTTTCAAAGCTTCAAATAACAAGTAAAGAAGACATTTTGATTGGGTTTGCACACATAAAGTTGTTCATCGACAATTATTATGGTTGTCTTGCTATGACAAATGTGGAACTTGCTTTAGCAATGGGTCGACAAGTGACAGTGCCCCTATCGATGTTAAAACGTCAAAGAAGTCATAAGAACTTTGAAGACAGAAAAATTTGTGTGAATCCTCTGAGTATAGTTTTGGTTGGGAAGAATAAGACAGGGAAAAACACAAAGTTTCTTTTTCAAGTGAATGATGTGAAAAAGTACACGTCGTCCCAATATACAAATCTTCTTGTTCGTATAAATAGCTTTAAAAGGAATAATGATGGTGACAAAGATGAGATACGAAGAACAACCAATTGGTACTCAGAAATCAGAAGAGTTTTACATCAAGCGGCCCAGATGCTAATGACTTAGGATTTGACACTACTCACAAATGGGGAGAATGTTGAGGTCGAATTTACTTGTGAGGTGTCGAAGTGTCCTTTTTCTTATATTAGTTTCAAATTCAGTCTTGTATGTTTGCATAAGGTAACGTCCTAGTATCGAAGCATTATTGTATAAGCCATTGTGTATTTTTTGTATGCTTCTATAATCCCTATAAATAGATGATAGGTACTAGTGTTAGAGTAACTTTTGAGTATTTGCTACTTTTACTCAAAACTTTCTCTATATCTTTCAGAAGCTATAATCGATCCATCCAAATCTTATTTACTCTTTGTGTTCATAATTCAATCTAAACTTTGATTTTGTTTCTTATACTCGATCTATAAAAACTACAGGTTGGTCATAAAAAACCCCAAAGGCAACTTAAGGTATCTAAATAGGGCACAAACCCTAAAATTTAGGGTTTGTCCATGCCAAGTGTACGCCTCGCGTACTCCCATGTATGCCCAGTGTACGTGGGCGCCTCCGCAACCATCTTGGGAGCAAGTAAGCCCAACGTACTCGGCTAGGGACCAGTTTTGCAAAGATTTTTATATAGTAAGGGCTTAAAGGGGAAACATGGAAATGCAGTGTTACAATCTTTTAGTTTCCTTACCACCTGCCCAGTCATCATCACTAAAGACTTGAAATTATAGAGAAGAATCATCTAAAAAGAAAAGTCCTCGACCTGAATTTGTCTTCAAATATCGACTTAAATGAGTTGCAGCATGCATGTGATGAGTTCCAAACTTATTAAGATATTAACTTAAGCAATAGACTGCATAAGTAATATCTGGCCGTGTAATGGTCAAATACAACAAACGACCAATTAATATTATGTATTGAGACTCATGTTCTAAAGAATCACCTTAAAAACTAGATAACTTGTATTTGGATCCATGGGTTGCAAAGTGGGTTTAGCTACTAAAAGACCCATATCTATAAGAAGTTTCAAAGTATATTGCCTTTGTGAAATAAAGATCACATTTTTAGTTCTTGCAATTTCAAGACCTAAGAAGTGTTGTAGGTTTCCCAAATCCTTAAGCTTGAAACGAGCATTTAAATCACTTTTGATAAATTGAATATTAGATAATGATGCTCCTATGATGACAATATCATCAACATAAACCAACTATGCAACATAGGATGAACCAATTCCTTTGGAAAATAGAGAATAATCAAACTTGGATTTGGTGAAACCCAATGTGACAAAAAAAAGTAGAGAAATTTGAGTACCATTTTCATGAACCTTGTTGTAAACCATACAAGGATTTTTGTAATTTGAAACCATTTGAGGAGCTGCTACTGATGAAGAAGAAGAACTAGGTGAAAAATTACCATAATACCCTTTTGGAATTTGCATATAAACTTCTTCTTCTAGATCACCATTGGAAAAAGCATTGTTCACATCTAATTGTATCAATCGCCAATTGCTTTTAGCATTTAATGCAAAAAGTAATTTTATTGTTACTAACGTGGCCATGGGAGAAAATGTTTCTAAAAAATCGACACCCTCTTGTTGATTGAAACATTTAGCCACCAACCTGGATTTATATATATCAATTGTACCATCATCCTCCTTTTAATCTTGTAAACCCATCGACATCCCAATGGTTTTCTTTCTTTTGGAAGAGGAACAATAGTCCAATTGTGATTTAGCTTTAAAGCATTCAACTCTCCGGTCATTGATTCTTGCCACTTATGTGTTGGGTTTTATGTACTCTAACATCCCTATGGTGCACATACAGCCTTAATGCTTTGGATCTAAGTTTTCTCTTGTTATACATGCAATAGAATTATCCAAAGCATGAAGCCTACAACTAGCATACAATTTGATATTAGAATCATAAAAAAAACTAGTTAGAAGATTACCTCTTGTTGTAGCTTTTTGTATTTGGCCTTTACGAACTTAGCACCTCAAGTGTGATGCCTCAAATGGTTCACTCAAAATCGAGTATAGTTTCTCTAAGAAGACTAGTGTATCTAATTTTATGCCTAGGGGTTACATACACACACACACACACACACATATATATATATATATATATATATATATATATATATATATATATAGTGTAGAATCCAAAAGTCATATGTAACCCTAATTCTTATACTTAGGCCTATGATCCATAATCCATATGGACTAACTCTTCATAGACTCTTACATAAACTTAGTCCATCATGGATCAATAGCCCAAACCATATGTACCATTGATTTACATAATCAATACCCGTTAATTTAACTAGTGTCTTTTGATCACTAAATTAATTCAAGATTAATTCTTGATCAATAATAATTAAATAATATGATTTCACAATTAATATATTATACTTATAATATATTAATAAATCACAAATAACCTCTTTCTCAAATATCCATCCTATTAGATTGTTTTGGTGACTGCAACCCAAAATGGACCATGCTACTCTCGGGTCAAGTACATACCAATTATAGTTATGGGCTTAGACACCTAATCCAACAGTCTCCGACTTGGATAAGTCTAATAACTATAACTGTAAGTATGACTTAAAACCGACTAGCAATCAAAGCTCTTACAAGCCACTATCGAACTCTGACCTAGTCAGTGACGCGTCCATTAGATAAGGGATCATATACTCCTCCATTCTAGATATCGTATGAACTGAGATATGGATTATAATCATTCTGTCTGTTCATGTGTTGTTTCCCGATTTTCGATTTATGACGACTGACTAATTGAACAAATCAAATCAGTCCAAGCTTGGCCAAGCGCTTAGGGTGTCATCACTAAAGCATCGAGGGGCCCACTGATATCATTTTTATCCCTCTTAGTGTAAAAGGAAAAGATAAAATTCGACCCATATTCTTGGTCTATTTACTCATCAAATCGCACACAACAATATGTTTTATAACATCAACTTACTGGTGCATTTACATATTATCAATGTGCAACCGACTTGTAAACTGCAACTATATGTCTCCATTTCAAGAATATAAGATATTATCGTCTCACTAATCACTCATGATAAAATCCATGAATTGATTAGATGAGTGTGGGTTTAATCCAATACTTAAATCTTATTACAGGAGTACTCATGAATACTGTAGAAAAATTAAGCTATGTCTAACACTTAGACAATCTACAGACGGATTCATGACAGTCTTGCCTCAATACCTACTTCCAAAGTATGATCAACTGTGGATAGTTTTGAATAATATTATTATTCAGAAAGTCAAAACATGCAAAGTGAAACACAAAAAAAATTGAATCCAATATGGTATCAAAACTTTTGAATATAAATAAAACAACTTTTATTTAATCATCATATTGATTACACATTATTCATTATATAATGTTTCAATTAATCAACTTAATACTTGAAAAACAATAGTTATACCATGCTCCGAGCATGCACACTATGTTTACCTATGGTCACTTTTTTGTGAAATAGATCAAAAGAAGACATTTCCAATGAAACTCATTTCACAATTCCAAATATTTATCACAAGTGTTAGATTCTAAACTATCATGCAATGATTCCTTTTGTAATGTCGCGGTACTAGAGTCACAGAGACTTTCCCACTGATATTACAAAGTATTCCTTTGAAGATGGTTACAAGAACAATTCCATGGAAGCGAAGTCTCAATTTCAAAGTGCATTCCTTTGAACTTCCTTCATGCATAAAAGTTTCCAACCTACACAAAATGTCAATACGGTCCATCCATTACTATAATTCCAACTGTCCTTAAG